GATTTTTTTCATTTTGGTTTTAATTGTGTTTCCTTGTCCTGAAAAATGATGGCCTGTAATATGAAGCCCTTCTCAGTGTGGTAACTTTCCACTGGCTAGCTGATTAAAGTCCTCAAAGGTTTAGAAAGGGGAAGGAATGAAGGAACGAGTGAGTAAATGGCTAACTCACTAGTTTCGCTTAAATCACTTCTGTTGCATGCTATGTCGCTTATGATGAGCCTTGTAAAATCTAAGGTTTTGTCTCCTTTCGGCTGTTTTTTTTTTTCCTTCATAGTTTCCAGGCACTGTCACAAACTTTGATTCTTTGATAGCTAAACTCTTAATTCCTTTTTTAAAATGTTCGTTTTCATTAAAGTGCTATTTAACATTAGATATTAACTTTGACAGACGTTAATGCTGCTTCTCAATTAGGTAAAATATATTCTTGGTAAGGTGCCAATTTGAATTGAATATATTTGAATTTGGTATGTGAATTAAACTGTTGTTTAAACCTTACCCATCCATCACATGTGTGATGGAGCAGCCAGCTGGTTTTGTATATAACTGGGTTTTTTTTCCCCCTAGCAATATTTAAACATGAGAAAATGGCTTCCTATTGTAGCAAAGAGAACTTCATATGAATTTAATACAAGATCTCCTTGTTTGTCAGGTTCTTAGACTGCCTAGAATTTAAATTGGCAGACACTACTTTGGTATAAAATGTTTTCCATGGACGATATTAATATTTTAAAATCCTTTTTGCTCCTGCAGATTTCCAGTAGACAGGAAGTCTAGCTCTATTTACCCTTTGGCTACTAATGAATGCTATTAAATTATTATTTATCTTCTTTAGGCAGAGGCAGTACAGGTATGAGATCAGAATTGCCAAGTAAGGCAAGCATTTAACTTTAAAATTACAGAAAATGCTAATCCATTGACAGGTGGCAACTGAAGTATGGATACTAGAAAGTATTTTGGACCCGAGTCAGAGATTTGGGGTTGTATTCCACCTGTGTCACTAACTTGTTGGGTCACCTTGACACCTGTGGGTAACTTGCTGGGTCGCCTTGAGCAAGCCACTGCCCAACTCTGGATGGCATATCCCCTCTATAGTCTCAGCTTGCACACTACACCAGCCTAGCAGCTCTGACCGAGGTCAGTCTCCAGCTGCATTTTTCATCTTTTTTATAATCCCTTAAACCCTTGCTAGGCTTTCATTGCTAGTTCTTTTCCCTAGGATTTTGCATTTAGAAATACTGAGGGCTTCCTACCTTTTGGAATTTTTCTATGCTCATGAAACTAATGAAAAGTTACTTAGAGTTACAAAAAAAAGCGCCAGAATTAAAAGTCTTGTTTGAATGACTGTTTTGGTAAAATCAGACTGTTTCTATCATGACTAATGTACCTTCACTATTTCAGTTTTGAAGTTAATACATTTGAGTCCTGGTATGGCGAGGCATGATTATCAGTTTGTCTCATTACCCATGCTAGTATTCTCTCACTTACTCATTGTTCTAATTAATCTTTCCTTTTTTTTTTTTTTTTTTTT